CATATTATTTACATTATTCACACGATTGTCCTCATCTTTGTCGCCATATTTATCACAACGCTCCGGCCTTCTTCAGATGGTTGGAATGTCAAACTGAACCCTTTATTTCGCTCACTGGGGTAGACTGTTCTAGTTCCACATGCCATGTTTTGATGGATGTCAGTTATCAGTTATCTCCTGTTAATTTCCCTCTGAAAGTTCTCCACTGCCTTAACCGGATATTGAACTCACACTCTTTTTGTCTGGTCAGTGGATTTAACCAACACCTTTATCCACTGTGCCATGTGTCCTTGAGGACAGTCCAACCACCTGAAGAAGGCCGGAGCGTACAACGGCCGAAACGTTGTGATAAATATGGCGACAAAGATGAGGACAATAGTCCGAATAATGTAAATAATGTATATAATACCTCATCTCAGAAATATAGAATATATATATATATATATATATATATATATATATATATATATATATATATATATATATGTCCATTTTAAGTCTATCTATATGTCTATGTCGACACTGTACTTTGAGTACAAAAGATATTAGCATATCTCTGCCTACAGTTACAAGGAGATAGATACAAATATATATATATATATATATATATATATATATATATATATATATATAGATAGATAGATAGATAGATAGATAGATAGATAGATAGAAATGCATAAGAAGTTCTGTGTGATAATACCTCTCGGAAAAGGACATAATTAACATTGTCGTGAAAAAAGTGAAATTTTTCGAGTTTCATTTGCGACAAAACAAATTTCATTACAGTTATGAGAATACGTAAGTAACCAACTCATTTGCCTGTGGTAGTTGCCACTTTTATTTGCCGTGCAATTCATCTGACGTTTTTTGACAATCATTTCTTTCTTAGCCCACTTTTTCATTTGCTATTGATACGGTTGTTGCGGTCTCCCTTATAAGTATCTTCCAGGACGGAAATAGATTCTGCACATAAAAACGAAAACTATGCTCCGCTATTTCTTACGTTTCTCTTTTTATATATATATATATATATATATATATATATATATATATATAGTGTATTTACTCAGCAATCGTTCTTGTATTTTGTATTATTCTTTTTCTAGTATGCGAATAATGTTTTGCAAACGTGACTGTTGATGTATAAAATACCCAAAATTATACATTGGACCAAATTTTCTGAAACAATTCACTGCTTACAATAGATTTGATTTTCTTTTCTTCTCTTTACTTACACACAACCCTATTGAGGAGTCATGTCAGTCCAAACCTTGGACCCAATATAAACTATTTCCACTTCAAAAACACCCACATTTGGCAAACGCTTTTCGTTTAGTAAAAAATGATCAATAAAATTTATAGACATAAAATGTCTATTTTTTTTTTAATAAGAAATGCATACATACATACATGATTGTGGCACCCCGAAGCGATGTAATGGTTAGCAAGCTTGTCTTGCTAGAACATTTACTACTGAGTAGTGAGTTCGATCCTTGTGCCACTTCTAAGCTAAGCTTGGAAAATCACTATGCATAATGATTGTCATTTCTTTGCAAAAATAATACAATCTCTTCACTTGGTACCATGTGCGTGTGTTTATCATTCAGAATTGGATCAATTCCATCATTTATACCCGATCTAATGCTCTGTTCTGGGCTCGTAAGTGATCGCCAAGGCCAGCTTCACTTTTACAACCTCTTATACACGTGGTAAACACAAAGTTTGTCTGAGTTACCTATGTTGGAAACTTGCCTGTACATGTGATGTTTAAATTTTACAACCTCTTATACACGTGGTAAACACAAAGTTTGTCTGAGTTACCTATGTTGGAAACTTGCCTGTACATGTGATGTTTAAATTCTGCAACACACTTTCAAATGTTGTCACAAAACTCGCATGAATAACCTGCAGGTATTTCTGGTAGGCTTTCATTTACAGGTGTTTGCACCTGACCCTCTCTGGTGAAAAATCGTCATCAGTTGCACCACCTAAATCTAAAGATAACTTGAAGCTGCTGATGATGTCAAAAAACCCGAAACTTTACAAAGATTTTTTTTTTTTTACAATCCATCTGTAGACAATGATGATATTATTTTTAACGAACTGTCTCAGCTTGACATCATAAATGAAATGCTGGCTCTTTTTATAGCTAGAGGAAATCAAGAAAACAATCAAGATGATTAACACCTGGAAAGAATCTGGTGTTGATGCCATTCCAATTATGATCTCAGGTGAGTGGCTAAACCAGTCTCCGAAAAGGCGACTTTTATGCAAATACCGCAAGTGTGTTGGTGTCCTAATAGCTCTGGGAGACATCCTATTTCCCCTCTCATAATGGCGCGCTTTGAGATGCCAGACAATCACAGAAAACTGAAGACAGAGATCTCGAGGCGAATAATAATAAAAGTATGGTAACTCATTCTTAGAACTCTGTCGAGTCGTGACAGCGAAGATTTTTTATTAGGGAGGGGTCCATATCTGAAACAAGATTCGATTGGCCATACAATGGTTTACTTTTATTTGGTTTATCCTAAGAAAAGTTAACGTGTTAAATGGCACATAGCTTAATTTTACAATAACTAAAGCCAAAATATAAAAAAATCATCTTAGCGTGTTATTCTATCTATCTATCTATCTATCTATCTATCTATCTATCTATCTATCTATCTATCTATTTCCCCATTCGCCATGGGCAATGTTCCACTGGGAAGGCGGATATCAACTCTTGACAGCTTTCTTTTCTTGTATTTGTCTGTGCTCCATATTCTACGTTTCCTTTCATGTTAACAAATAGCCTCGTCTAATCAAGACTTTTATATAGATGCCATGCGTGGCGCCAAACCCTATCTATCTATCTATCTATCTATCTATCTATCTATCTATCTATCTATCTATCTATCTATCTATCTACATTTGTTTCTTCGTTATCTATCTATCTATCTATCTATCTATCTATCTATCTATCTATCTATCTATCTATCTATCTACATTTGTTTCTTCGTTATCTCTCTATCTATCATATGGATGTCATGCATGGCGCCAGACACTATCTATCTATCTATCTATCTATCTATCTATCTATCTATCTATCTATCTACACTTGTTTCTTCGTTATCTATCTATCTATCTATCTATCTATCTATCTATCTATCTATCTATCTATCTACACTTGTTTCTTCGTTATCTATCTATCTATCTAGCTAGCTAGCTATCATATGGACGTCATGCATGGCACCGAACCCGTTCTGAAATATCTAAACTGTCAGCTGTATACAACCGCTTTCTAAGATCAAAGATTAGAAATGGCTTTGAGCTAGTGAAGCCTGTGGGTCTTGGTGTAGACCCATTCTTCTTTTAACATCGTGGACTGGCACTACAAAATTCCAAAGAACGATACCAAATAACACAGACCTTATCAATAGCAGCAACAACTAAAATGGATAGCACTCGAAGAGAAAATAATGACATAATCAAGATGCTGTTATTCCACATTACTTCAAATCAAAAGTTAGGAAAGAAGAAACAGTACTGAAAAGAGTGATAACAGATACTGCAATTAAGAAGTATATTTTCCTGAAAAATTGTTTTAAGAGGAAGAATTTTATAAATTTCAACCGACAGAAGTACTGGCTGCTCGTTCAGTGAATGTCAAATGTTTCCTTATAAGAAAACAGCTAATACTACTGTTAGTATGATGTTATTTATTGTTATGTTATATAGTTATATTATATTATATATATTATATTATATGTATTATATTATATATTATATTATTATATATTATATTTATTATATATATATATTATATATTATATTATATATATTATATTATTATATATTATATTATATATATTATACATATTATATATTATATTACATATATTATATTATATTTTATATTATATTTTATATTATTATATATTATATTTATTATATATATTATATTATATATATATTATATATTATATTATATATATACAGGGTGTTTCAAAAAATTTGATATCATTTCGCAATCTAATAACTTTGTTAGATCTCCTTCAAATGACTTCAAATTTTAATACCATCTTTATGTTTAATGTTTGTTTTATATTTTTATGTTTTTGTGTTTTTCTTATTTGTATTTTTATGTTCTTTAATCTTTAATCTTTTTCTTTACAGGTATAAAAATGCCGTGTCTCAGGCGGTGCGCATATTGATCATTTGTGAAATCGCTTTTGAATTTCTCATTTAGATTTGGAAGAATAAATCTTATGATCTTCAACATTAATACTTTTTAATTTCATTTGCCTTAATCATGTACTTTCTGTGATATTTACATCTCAAAGGATATCAAATTTTTTGAAACACCCTGTATATTATATATTATATTATATATATATTATATATTATATTATTATATATTATATCTATTATATATTATATCTATTATATATATATTATATATATTGTATTATATATATTATATTATATATATTACATATATTATTATATATTATATATATATATATATTATATTATATATTATATATATGTTATATTATATTATATAGTTATTTATTATTAATTATTATGATGTTAATGCTATGTCCGTCGACAATAAATTCCAGTACGTCCTCTAATTCTCTTAATAGTATTTCACCGTACAAATGTCAAGTATTATCGTCATATCTTAACTATCCAATCTTCACTTTCCGACTTTGGTAGAGATCAAAATCGTTCACGCGGTTTCGTAGGGTATGATTTATTTTCCAGTGTCTCGCACAGACGTTACTTTATCGCTACTTCTAAGTATTCAGATGAGTCTCCAGCCTTTAGTTCCACCAGTTCTTGTCTTTACAGCAAGGACTTGCCATGATTCTTCTGCGGAGTTGAAACCGACACATTTCCTCCGTATTCCATTTATAAGGAGGAAATTCCATACAGAGTTTTTGTTGTTGTTGTTGTTGTTTTTTTGAAACAAAGTTTTGCCTGTATGTTTCACTGAATATTGCAATCTCAAATGACCATAGCACGTTGAAACACCGGTTCTCGTACGATCACCGAAGTTAAGCAATGTCGAGCATGGTCAGTACCTAAATAGGTAACTGCTTGGGAATACCAGGTGCTGGTAGCTTGTATGTGCGGGTGGTGTAATGGATAACATCTCGAAAGGGGAAGGAAGGCTGGTATTCAATCTGTCTCATCTTAAACTTAGCTAGCCATGATTACTGCCCTAAACACACCTCAGTATTCTTTACACTAAAACAACGCATTCTTACCATTTTTACTACAGTCACCATAATACCTCAAGTCTCTATAGCGGAAAGTTCATCCGAACAATTACCATAAGATATTTATAGAAAAAGTACATGGAAAGTGACTGAAGCCGAGACACTAGGTCTGAACCAATATTCTTGCTGCCCTTTTTATTTTATCAAGAATCTCTAAGTATATATCAGGAATACCGAACCATATGTGACAGCAATATTTAAAGCCAGAAAGATTGGTAAATTTATAAATATGTTAGCTCTTGGAGATAAAAATTGCACAGATAATTTCTGGAGCTCGATACCATAGCGGAAAGTAATATTTACTTTGAAAATACAAAAATGTGGCATAAGGCCAAAATAGGGGATAAGGGAAGGTTGGTATTCAATCTGTCTTATCTTAAACTTAGCTAGCCACAATTACTGACCTAAACATACAACAGTGTTCTTTACACCAAAACAACACATTCTTACTTACCATTTTTACTACAGTCACCATAATACCTCAAGGTCTCTATGAAGACATAACAGGTTCCTATATGTACAATCGAAATTTGAAAACGGAGAGTCGTGTTCGAATTCTAGTCGTTTTTTTTTTTTTTATATTTACTTACGCAAAAATGCGCTTGTGAATATGAGTCCGCCTCTTTTACCCAAGCTATGGGTTAATTAGTAGAACTTGTATCAGTAAAAATAATTATTATCTTCAAAGAATTCTTACCATCTAAAATCATTTTTTGCCTTTAAATAAGCTATAATGGGTTTATAAACCGTAAAAAAACAAATCAATCAATCAATCAATCCAATAGTGCCCATCCATTGGCTGCAGTATCCCAGATTGTAATAAATAATCAGTAATGTACGACGATGAATTCATATATTGTTTATAGAGAAGAATCAAAATAGAAGAAAACAAAACATGCAATCTAAAAATATTTTCTGGCTTTAAATAACCTGCAGATGGGTTGCTAAGCCGTAAAAATCAATCGATCAAGTCAATCAACCACTCACTATGTATCCTCCTTATTTTCATAATCTTCACTTCATTCCACTTCCTCTTATGTTCATATCGCTCACATTATCCATTAACCCTCTACCTTAAGTGGCTTTTCAGCCTTGCAATTGTTGAAATTTAATGTAAAAAATATTGAATAAATCCATAAGAAAAAACATACTTGTCGCATTCTATTTTTGTGTAGTCAGTTCATTATCTATTCGCATACAAACTGGCTGTTCTCAATTCAAATTGTGGTTGATCCGTTGATCACTGTTTTGTACACTGCAGTAGACAAGCATCAACAGAGAGAAGCCAAAGTTCAACGTCATATTTGCTTGTGTTGGTATTTTCAACCGACACAAAAAGCATAATTTGTAATCACATGGGGAGAAATGTCGGCTACAATTGGTGACGATCGTAATTTCTGCATTCACCATAAGCCCAGTGCGGCAAGAAGCGAGAAGGAGAAAACAGGAGCGCTTACATTGTATCAAAATCAATTTCGATTTGACTGGACCTACGTCAAGGTTAAACGCTACTGCCAGGGAAAATGATTTGCGAAAATGCTCACTCATCATCTCTCAGTGGCCTGCTAATGATCATGCAGCCGGTAATAATATCTGGGGCAGCGTACACAGAGGCCGATACATATCTATCCCAAAAATATTAGTGCTAAAGAATTATTAGCAGGCAAACCATTCATTTCTTATTCCTTTGATAAAAAGCAAGTCCCACTCAAACAGCTCCTTCTCCAGAACTGTTACTGTGTGGAACAAACCCCCCAAGAGAATGATTCCCTGGCCATTACAGTCTTGATCTCTTTAATTCCAGAATCAAGCGATATCTATCCTACTCTCTTACTTCCAACGAACTTACTGAGAAATCCCCAACTTTGATTGGCCTTTGGGACCTGTATCTGGTGAACTAACAGTAAAGAAATCTCAGCTGACCTTCAAACTCAGTTCACCGACTCTGTTTTCGATGTTGATAAACGTTAAGCCACTTCTCAAGGAGAAATCAGTGAATTCATGTCTTTACAATGAATATTCGTGATAAGTGAACTGTAAGAAGCCTCAATCGAGATTCGATCTCGTTTGGTCGATTCCGTTTACCATACTTGCAAATCTTGCCTTCATTTAAAATTCCGATGTAAAGCCCAGAGTGTAACAGCAGCAAATCTATACCCCTTCCCAAAGTATATACAGTGTAACCCGGATATAAGAGTGTTGTCGGGACCGGTGAAGAAGTCTCTTATATCCGGGTTTGGTCTATTTTATATACATTAACACAGGCTCTAATTTGGGACCAGAGAAAATCTCTCTTATATCCGGGTTTCTCTTATATCCGGGTCTCTTATATCCAGGTTACACTGTACTTCCCTAGAGTATAGTCAACTTCCTGAGAGCAATTCCCTGCGTCTGCTCGGTCTCACGCTGACTGCTGACCTGAGATGGAACAAATACATTGAGTCAATTGCTTCTTCCACCGCGAGGAAAGTTGGCTCTCTGTGCCGCGCCAGGAAATTTTTCTCCCCGGCATCGATACTTCAAATATACAAAACAACCATTCGCCCTTGCATGGAGTATTGCTGCCATATATGGGCTGGAGCACCTTCTGCTTACCTCGGAGTTCTTGACAAGATCCAGAGACGGATATGTAATCTAATTGGCCCTGATCTTGCGTCTCGTCTGCAGTCACTCTCTCACAGACGCGCCGTCGCCTCTCTCTGTCTTTTCTACAAATACTTCCATGGTAACTGCTCTGACGAGCTGCTTTCACTGGTTCCCAGACTCCATGAATTCAAGCGCCCTACGATGCTGGCATCCCGCTCCCACCCTTACACCGTAGAAACTTTCAAATGTAGCCGTCTCTTCTACTCCAATAGCTTCATACCTACCACCGCCAAGAGTATATCAGCCCTTTAGAATATAGTCCGCCTAAATTTTATCCGCTCTGTAGATTATACTCGCGACCAAAGTATATCAACCTTCCACCGCCCAGATTATATGCGCCTCCTAGAGCGTAGCCTCACCTAGAGTTTATCCGTCCCCTAGAGTATACGCCTGCCCAAAGTATATCCGACACCTAGAGTATATCACCGCCCGAATTATATCCGCCCCGGGAGTATAACCCCACTCAAAGTATATCAGCCTCCTAGAGTACACTCTGCCCGAAGTATATCCGTCCCTAGAGCATAACCCTGCCCAACGTATTTATGCCCACTAGAACATAACCGCATCCCAAATATATCAACTCTCTAGAGTATTTTAAGCTAAGCTGTTTTATACTCACGGTTATATGTTAGGCTAGGCCAGTTTATACCCCCTTGTATAAAGTATATCGACTGCCAAGTCTATACTAACACCCAGAGTATATCCACCTCCTATAATATAGCCCTACCTTAAATATATCCGACCCGAGGGTATAGCCCGGCCGAAAGCTCCCTAAACAATGACCCTGCCTAAAGTATTATTCCACCTAGAATATAACGCCGCCTAGATTATACTCGGGGTTATTTTAGGATAAGCTGTTTTATACTCTAGGTTATAAGTTAGGCTAGGCCAGTTTATATCCCCTCGTATAAAATTATTTAGGTTGGAATATAGCCCCATAAACCAGAATATACCCACTCCTTTTCACATATAATGGTACTATACCCACAGAAGATAATTGACGATGCAAATGTCACATGACCACAAAGATTTCTTTTGGACATTCTACAGCCATCAGTTTTATTCCGACACCCTTGTTTGCACATTAGTAAGCCTAACTTCTGGATACTTATTGATTTTGGTCGAAATGATTGAAGGGGGAACATTCGTATGACTGATTTTGAGGTTCTCTGTGTGCGGTCTTCGTGGCCTAATTTAATATTGATTCTCTGAAAACTTCATATGTATAATGGTTTTTACAGTAGCTGCATTACGTGAACAAGATTTTTTTTTTTTTTTAGTATAAGAGATTCTGGGTTCGTATCAGCAATCTGTAGACAGGAACCATCACATAACATAAGAATAAACATCTGTTGCTACTAATAATTATAGGGGGTATGAAATAATTATAGGGGGTATGAAATAATTATAGGGATATAAACTAGGGAAGTATAGTTCAGACTAGTCTTTTTTCATGACCCGTTATTGTTAAATAGACCAGGTTCAGCTATACCTTAGGTATTAATTTCTACTATCCCCTTGGGGTGGGTTGATCATTTATAAATCATTTATTATTACAGCTTCATGATCAGTATTTCTTAGTCAATATTTTCTTTTACTGGGTTCATAGCGTAGAATAGGTTAGATTTACGAACAATGGCTTGCGTGTTGTGGACGACATATAACTCTCATCCAGGCTTAAATTAGTAAATATACCCGAAAGATTGCATGCAATGACACATGCTTGTCTAAGAGCGACGGTTATGAAGCTAAACACGCAAGCAATTGTGAATGTAGTGAGTTTGATTATAGTAACCTCATGCCAATCTAAGAGAAAGCTCGGTAAATACCTGCATCAAAATAATGAAAAACGACGTCGAATTATTTTATAGAATCATTTCACCCAAAGCAAGGCAATAAAGCGACTAAGATGCAATGACTTACTGGGTGTGAAGGAATTAGTGAAGAAAGAAAAGCGCAGTTAAGAGAGAGGCCGCTAAAAGAACAGGAATTAAAAAGAAAGAAGGTAACGTTTGGCATTGCATCTAAAGTTTTGATGATCGTTGATTGAAAAGCAAGAGGCCGAAAGAACAAGCAAGAAATGCGAGAGAAGAAACTGTTAGCATAGAACTTACGGTTATATGTAGCCATTTCAACTGCAAAATCACGAGAACTTGCTTCCAATCTGATAGTACGCTTAAATTCTGAAGTCGA